TCATAGGATAGGGCTAATAGTAGGGATAGTCTACCTATCCCCCTCCTTCTTAGGGCGCGTCCCGAGCCCTTGGAAAGAGGTAGCTAAGGTTGGTTTGAAAAAATTCAGTTGCCAAACCTTGCATAGTTTGCTAGCAAACTAGATGTAGCCCAAAGCCATCTAGGAGGCCCGTAGGCGATCTAGATACGGCCCGAAGACTATCTGGTAGTAATGCAACTTCGCAAAGCCAGCAGGCAATTGCAGGCCTATAGGCCATCTGGATACGGCCCGGAGGCAAACCAGGTGTAGCCCAAAGCCATCCAGGAGGCCCGGAGGCGATCCGGATACGGCCCGGAGGCTTCCTAGGTACTGCCCAAAGCCACCCAGAGCTTAATAGCAGTTGCATTACAAAGCTGTCTGTGCTGCACTTCTCGCTAAAACAGGAGGTGCTTTGCGCTAAGACAGGAGATGTTTCGCGCTAAAACAGAAGGTGTTTCGCGCTGAAACGCAAGGTTCTTAGCGCCAGTGCAGCTGACAACAATCCTGCATTCAACCACCACCACGACCACGACCACCACCACCACCACTGTATCCGCTCGAGAGCTTGAACGCTCAATCGGTGCGCGTACGCAAAGTAGCCGGTGAGGGCTCGGATCAATGACGGGGTATGGGCGGCTCGGTGGATGGGCGGCTTGGTGGATGGGCGGCTCGCAAGCTGACGATCAAGGATGAGGAGTACCTGCATCTCCTGTCAGTTGCGGTGCCTAAGCTGCGCTGTGCGGACTGCTCATCCCAAGGGGATATGTGAAGGTTTACAATGTGAGAGGTATCGAGCAGGAAACACAGGTCACAGAGAGGGAATGCAGGATAGGGGGGGTAACGAGAGTAAACCTTAGGGTCGGAGGCAGAGGTACGGAGGCCGAGGAGCCTATATACCCCGTGCCAAGCCCTTAGGGTACTCAGGGGTTGGATAGCTGTAACATAACCGTGACAACACTTTACTAAGTTCTGCTAACTTACATCTAATATAGGCCTAAATAAGATAAGTCTAATTACAGCCTTATATAACTCCCTCTTAACTAAACTGTAACGCGCTATAGTAGAAAAACCCCTCTTAAACAACCTTAACGCGTATGTAAACTTAATTACTACCTACAATAATAATATAAAGTTCCTCCCTATATAAGCCCTAATACGCCCCTAAACTAGCGCAGTTGCAAATAAGGACCCTAATGTAATAAAAATTAATTTAAATTATGCTCTAGTTAGTTCTAAAAAGTGTAAAAATTATAAAAAGAAAAGTTAATGCTTTAAGTGTAGTAAGTATAGTTATATCTTTTAAAACTGCTCTATTCCCCTTTCTTAAGTCTATGTAAGTAGCGCTGCTAGCACTTATTAAAGATTTTTACTATTTTAATCTTATTTCTATAAGGGCTCTAACTTATATTTAAGCTTTAATCCCCTTTGCTACTCTTAACATAGCTGCAGCTATAGCAGTAGGAGCCTGCAAAAAGGCTTGTCCTAGGGCTAAGTTGCCCCCTAGGACTAATTTAACACTAGATCTCTGCTAACCTATAGGCTAAGTCCCCTACTAATAACTAAAAGTACTAAGTTAATATTCTTATATATTTATAATAAAAAACTATATTAGCCCTAATATAGGCTCTTATTAACTTAGAAGTAAATAGTATAAGTTACATTAATAAAGAACTAGTGCATAAACTAAATCTTTAATTAACACTACTTACTTAAATAATTTACCTAACTAGATTTAATAAAAAACAACTTAAAAAAGGTTTTATCTTTTATACTATAACTATTATAATTACTTACTAACACTATAAGAAGTAGATTAAGCTCTATGTAATAAACATAAGACATTATAACCTAATTCTAGAACAACTATAGCTATATTAGCATAAGGTTGCTTTTAATTACTAAAAGTAAGTTTTAAACTTTAACTTTTTCTAATACTAAGACATATGCTTACACTTACACCTAAATAACACCTAAATAGCACTTAATATAAAAGGTTTTTAGACCTACTTTTTAATAACCTAGAAAAGAACTACCTAAGTAAGGCTAATAAGCTAGGCTTTTTACTAAAATAGGCTATATAAAATAATTTAATAACTACTTAAACTTAAAAAAGAGAAAGCTTTTAAAGAACTTTTACTTACTTACTTTAAACATAAACTAGGACTTAAACAGTAAATAGACATCTGCTACATAAGACCTGCCTTATTTATAACCCTAGCTTAATAACTAGATTACAAAATCTACACAGTTATAATTTTTAATATAGACTAAGCTTTAGCTTCTTAAAAACACACTAACTTAAAGATAATAGTCTCTTAAAACTACTATAACTTGTTGCATGTTTTTTTTTAAAATAAGTCTAATAAGCTTTTAATATAACATCTATATAATTACTAAATAACTTTTAAGCCTAGTAAATAACCTAGTTATAGGCTACTATATAAGATGTTACTAAATAAATTAAAAGTGCTTTAAAAATACTTTAATAAGAACTTAAAAAAAAGGTTTATTTAAGCTAGCTTCTTACTAGTAGTGTTACTTATACTATTTATAAAGAAACTTAAAAGTAGGCTTTAATTTTATGTTAACTACTAAAAACTAAACACTATTACTATTAAAAACTAATACTTAATTTCTTTTTTATAAAAAACCCTAAGCTAACTAAGTAAAGCAAAGTATTTTATAAAGTTAAATATTATTACTGCCTTTAATAAGCTAAGAATAGCAAAAGGTAATAAGTAGCTAATAGTGTTTTAGACTTAATATAGACTATTTAAGTACCTAGTAATGCTCTTTAGCTTAGCTAACATGCCTAGTACTTTTTAACATTTTATAAATAACTTACTCTAACTCTACCTAAACATGTTCTATACTATATATATTAATAATATTTTAATCTATAGTAATAGCCTTTTAGAGCACAAACAGCATGTACGCCTAGTGCTAAAGGCTATAGAAGAAGCAGGTCTATAACTTAATATAGACAAATGCAAGTTTTACTAATTAAAGGTTACATATTTAGGATATGTAATCTTTATAAATAGCATCTAAATAGACCCTATTAAGGTTTAGACTGTGCTAGATTAGTAATACTTAAAAAATATAAAAGATGTTTAAGCCTTTATAGAATTTACTAACTTTTACTAATAATTTATTAACAACTTTTTATAGCTAGTAAGCCCTATAATTACACTTACTAAGAAAAAGGTTTAATTTAACTTTAACTTAAATTACTAATAGTTTTTTAACTAGCTAAAAAAAGCCTTTACTAAAGCCCTAATACTCTACTACTTTAACCTTAAACTACTAATACTTGTAGAAGCTAATGCCTTAGACTATGTAGTAGTAGGAGTTCTTTTCTAGACTAAGCTAGACAGAACTATTAGGCCTATTATATACTTCTTAAAAAGAATAAGTTTTGTAGAAAGTAATTATAAGATCTATAATAAAAAATTACTTACTATAGTATACTACTTTAAATAATAGCAACCTAAACTAGAAGGTGTAGCGCATCTAATAAGAGTTCTATTTAACTATAAGAACTTACAGTACTTTGTAACTATAAAATAACTTAGCTACTAATAAGCTTATTAGTTTAAATACTTATTCTATTTTAATTTTAAGATTACTTATTATTCTAGTTAAAATAAAGGGAAACTAGATGCTCTTATAAGGCAATCCTAAGACGTCTTTACTTAAGAAGAAGTATAAAAGGCTTAACACTAAACTTTGCTTTAACTTAAGCTATTTTTAGACCTTAACCTAAATAAAATAAATTAGATAATTAATTAAATTATTACTAATAAGTATCTAAATAATAAATTTATCTAAAAAACTTTAGACCTGCTCTAAAACAGCGCTAGTTAGTTAAAAAAAGTAACACTAGCTAACTATAAAAACTAAAATAGTAAGCTATATTACTGTAACTAACTTATAATCTTTAATTCTAACAAACTAAGAATTAAACTACTCTAAATTGTACACAACTTGCCTATTAAAGGACACCTAAGCAGAGGAAAGACTCTTAACCTACTACAGAGAGAGTACTACTAGCCCCGCATGTTCTATACTGTACGCTAATACGTATTATGTTGCTATACTTGCTGTAAAGTAAAGGCCTTTTAAGAAAGGTATAATAGCCTACTTAAACTACTTCTAATCTCTAAATAAGCTTAGAAAGATATATTAATTA